TCTAAAACCTGAACCCTGAACCCTATCAAACCCTATATCAGCCCAATGTAACTGTGAACCACCTATTTTCTAAGCCCTGACCCCTAAACACTAAACCCCCTACATCTCAAGCTGAGGCCTGGATCAGCCGTGCCTCCTCTTCGCTATGAAACGACCTTCAGCTGTTGCAGGCTTCCGGCACAGGCTTTCAGGATTTGGAGTGTTCCCAAAACTAGGGGTACTGTTTGGGGGTCCCCATAATAAGGATTGTGGTATTTGGGGTCTATATTGGGGTCCCCCTATTTTGGGAAACTACCATTTGGGGTGTAGTAGTACAGGGCGGTTAAGGGATACTGTTCAGCGTATAGTAGTAGTCGTCGTGTTACAATTCCTACTCCTGCTGCTGCTGCTGCTGCTGCTGCTGCAGCTGCAATCCTGCCATGGCAGATACAAACCACCTTGGCCCTAGCAAGAGATGTGATCATCAGAGCGCAGTGATTTGGTTGAACTGGGACCGTTTCTGAAACGTATAGCACTGCTGGTGGGAAGATTTTTGATGGTAGGACCAAGTAACATTAGCCCTCTGATTAATTACTATACCCAGGAAGGTAGAAATATCCTACCTCATTTGGGGTTTCATGTTGGTTTGGGGGCTGACGTCTGAGCCCTTAAACCCCTAAGCGCTAAACCCTAAACCCCTATAAACCCCAACTGTTAGCATGCACAGAGGCTCTGACGCACACATCTCGCCAGCTGGTTAGGTGTGACATGGCCCAGGGCCAGCTCTGCAATTACATAGGATGTAGGGTTTAGGATTTAAGGGTCTAGGGTTATATGAGCATTGTATAGGGGGGTACTGTAGGAAGGAATTTAGACTATAGCTTGTATAGGATAGTCTCCTGCGCTGTTATCTGGGAGTATTGGGCACATCAACAGGGGCTGTAGATTTGAGCTATAGTCTTAGCTCCTAGTGTCCCCCTTAATAAACCCTAGAATACTCCCTCATATAATCCCCTAAATAACCCTTCTTAAGGAGTTTAGACCCTAAACCCTAAACCCTGTATAGGGATTCTTGGAGTCTTGTGAGACAGTACCCATCTTGACCTTCTGAAACAGCAATGCAGCGCAACTGCCACCTTGGCCAATGGATCAAATCATGGACACCAGAGAATAGTATCATTACCAGTACTCTTACTGTTACTATTACTATTACTATCAATTTTACTACTACTATCACGATCACTAGAACTGTTACTATTACTACACAAATCGTAAACAGTCAGGCAAGCGCGAGTCATTTCGTGTTCGATGATTTCTGTAGGTCCGCTCTATGCTCAAGCTGTAAAAGGGGGTGCTGCAAGTGGCTGGAGATGGGAATGCTTGATGCTGGGTTTAGGGTTTAGGGTACACTTGACAGAAAAGACCTGCATGAAATCAAGTACCCTATACCTCGGGATTTTTGAGTAGTGTGTTTGGTGGTCGGAGAATGCAAGATATACAACACTATACCTAAGCAGGGTTGCCTTCGACTAAATTCCTATAATCAGGAAACAATATATTTATGATAACTTCAAGTAAGTTCCTCAAAGCAACCCAGTGAAGGAGGTCATAATCTTATGCTCTTTGAGACGACACAAAACTGGTCATTCGAGGAGGCAGACTCTTGACGGCCAGATCCCCCTCAAGGGAAAGATCAGAGATAGAACCAGTGGTTTAGGGTTTGGGGTTTGGGTTTAGGGTTTAGGGTAGGTAGGTGGTGTTATCTATACTGTTAGAGGGGTATATGGGTGGTCAATTTTTGGGTACCCTAAATATTAGGTGACGTATGATAATAGGGATCCAAAAAGGGACCAACAATTTAGACAACCACCTCTATACGTTATGACATGGTTATCGCTTGAGTGAGCATTTACTTCCTAGGATAGAACCAAGAAGTGGAAATAATTCCTTAGCTACGGTATATTAGCTAAGGCTTTCATGAATACAAACGCAGACATGGCGCATGGAATGCGAAAGGTACAACAGGATCAGAGACACAAGAGGCTAAATCTTTAGCTGTGCCCGCAACCCCAAACCCTGGACCATTTTCCATGCAAGGACTTTGCCGATCTTGAGCTATGGCACTTCAAAAGGTGAGGAACATTCCTATGGTGCAATTTGTCTGTTTTGGAGTAGGTGGCCCCACGGACCACAAAACGGCGAGAGGGGTGCGCACACTTGTCCCCCCAAATACTATGGGCAGAACATTTTTACTATTGTTCTTACTGTTCTGAAAAGTATAATTAGTAATAGTGGTCGTAGTAGTAGTAGTAGTAGTAATAGTAGTACTACTATGACTACTACTACTACTACTACTACCACTACCACCACGACTACTACTACTACTACTACTACGACGACGACGACGACGACGACGACGACGACGACGACGACGACGACGACGACGATCTTCATTACTAGTATTAGCATCCGTACAACCCATGAGGGTCCCACAGATTTTCGATGGATCTGCCGTCACAGACATGGTCATGGCAAGTCTACACACTCTTGATGCTAGAAACCCTGCATGGCCTCAGCATAGAACACCACAACTACCAAGATATGGGAATCTCGGGGGGACTCAGCCTAGTATATACCCCAATATACTAATATACTCGGATCCTTGTACTGGGCACTCCCACAAAGCGACCCCGCATTCTTAAAGTACTGAGGGTCATGCAGAACTTGTGGTATATGCTGATATCACCCCTACTGGACTGGATTTAGGTGCCCTGCAAAAATGCTAGTTCTTATGGCTTTATGGTCCATCATAATTACAGTATTCCCAGGAACATCCCAACCTAAGTTGGCGATCTCCCTGTGCAGCTTCATCATGAAACTGGGAGGAGAATCCCTAGACATCCCGGAGCCCTGACCTAGACCCTGAACCCTCAACCCTGCACCCTAAACCCGAAGCCGCAAACTTATGCTAACTATCTATACTGGTTGTCATTAGGGAATATGATGGGAATTTATTCC